CACAGACAGAGATCCTTATTTTTTGTAGGTTCTTGGTTTTATTTTGAAAATCCTGCCCCTTTACAGTCAGTCTCCTTTTCACTCAGGTGTGTATAAAACATAGAAAGAGAGAATACATTTTTACCCTCCATTTCCACCAGTTAACCTGCAGAAAAAAGCTCATATTTTATCTTACTGGTAAGATGGCTGCATTGTTTCACGACAAGCTCAACTGTGAGTTTCCTGCTTTTCGTTTCCTGTAAAATAGGAAACGAAAAGATCTCCTAATGTTTATTTCCACATTTCTGAAGAGTCTTGCTGGACGTTTTCTGTAAATCCACCCTGAAAGTGATGGAAATGGAATGCCTCGGTGGTTTTTGTCCTCCAGGAAGTGGGCAGTGGGCCACGCCTCCAAAGCCCCCGGAGCTCTGCCCTGATTGGCTGTGTATCTCCAGCTTTTGAAGGCCTTGTTCTGAGTTTGCTTAAAGTCTAGTGGCAGTAGCAGTCCCACCGACTGGAACTCGCTGGGAAAAAGCCCAAGTCCAGGACTCCGTTTTCCCAGAATCGCCGTGTAACCAAACATACCTCCTAGGGGTGGGACGGTTCACAAAATCCACGGTTCGGTTCCATTCACGGTTTTGGGTTCGGTTCGGTATGTGTTGATTGTTAGGGAAATCTGTTATGTCTTGTATAGTCAGGTTAAAACTGAAAGAAAAAAGCAGTCTGACATTTGATACATTATTGTGACAGTCTGAGGTTAAAGTAGGTGAGATTCTGCCAGAGAGGAAACAGTGCTAATTCCAACATGTGCTTCCTTCTAAATGCAAAGTGTCCCATACAGCAGACCTAGAAACTGCTGTTGGTAGTCTGATTTTTATGGGCTACGCTGCTTCTTCTTCTTCTTGTTTCCTACTGGTGGTTGGCTTTGGGCGCAGTAGCGCCACCTTCTGCTCTGGAGTGTAAACGCTTCCCTCTGAGAAAAAGGAGCAGCAGGAACCCAACCAACACACGCCGACCCAACCGAGACAGAACCCAACGGTTCAGACGGTTTTCAGAAACCGTCCCATCCCTAATACCTCCAAAAGTTGCCTTTCCCTGGGACGTTAGCGTGGCTATTTGCAGCATAACCTTTGTTATCTCCCCAACACAGAGTGGTAACGGGGAGCTGTGGCTTCCTTCCTCTCCTCCTCAGCCCCCCCGCTCTCTGTCCTCCTCCCCTCCATGCCACAGGCGTCAAACCCAGCTCACAGGGTGGTGTAGATGTACACGAAAACGATCACGAACAGGTTGAGGAAGGTGCCGACGATGCCCAGCAGGGCCAGGACCGACTCCTCCTGCTCGTCCTTGGCCTCCAGCGCCCGCACGTCCTCCAGGGTGACGACGGTGGTGCCCATGGTCCCGCGCCTCTCCTACCCTGAGAGAGGGGCATTGATCTGGAACAAGAAAGGAAGAAGCTCATGCTCATACGTGGCCACTTCCACAGACGGTAAAAGCTAGCAAAAACGCTAATCGTCCAGAGAGCCTTTGAGAGAGAGTTTTGAACCCCGTCTTTGGACTGCCTGCAAAGAAACTATCAACCGACACCAAGGAATGATTTCCCATGCCAGATTAAGTCGAATTCAAGAGCCCACTACAGCCATTTTTCAAGTAATTAGCCCTGAAAGTAGAAGTTGGAACCTGTGGGGGCTTGTTTTGGTCTACGCTAGCATTTGAATCTTTATCTAACATTTGAATGTCCACCTCACCCCCGTTAAAATCTGCTGTCAAATGGAAGTGAAGACAAAGGGGAAAAGGGCTCACCAGCTTATCCGGAACGCTTTGCGGGGCTTCCCGGGAAAAGCGGCTGTCTCCGGGCATTCCGCTTATGGAGACCCATGAGAGGAAGAGGCTTAGCGTCCAGTCCCAAAGTGATGACCACAGGAATCTCTCCTCAGATCTGTTTCTGTTTTTGTCCCACGACGGCTTCCCCTCAGACTCAGGAGTCCTGGGTCCAATCCCGGAGACACAGGAAACCTCGGTTCAGACAGAGAGAGGAACCCCTTTCTGCCCCGGCTCTTCCCTCCATCCTTCCCGTCTTCAGATCAGATCTCAGCAATCAGGAATTCCCTCAGTCCGATATTCCAGAGACGGCGTCAAAGTTGGAGAATCCAGCGGAGCAGACGTCTGGTGAAGAATGAAAAGCCCGAGATGGAGGACGGGTCCCGGTGGCCGTGGCAGTGAAGGAAAAGGAGCAGGAGAATGAGAGAGAGGGAGAAGGAGGGAGGGAGGGGAAGGTGGAGGGAGGAGGGAGGGGGGGGATGATATCGCTCACGTTTGGAGTTGTCTCCTCCTCTGGCGGAGCACACACACTCCCACGCCGAAACAAAAGACTCCCGCAGAGGAAAGGAGCCCAAAAAGGAGGTGCATCCAGCCCCTGGAAGGAGGAGGAGGAGGAGGAGGAGGGAGAAATAAAGGAGGGCTGAAAGCAGGAGGCAGGGTTTAGGCGTCTGTCCACACTGTTATTTATCGGGGATGCGTGGAAAGCCTTCTCACCTGGAGTAGAACACAACACAATAAGTGCTGCCAGGACTAGGGTTGTCACGATACTAACATTTTCAACTCGATACCGATACTCAGGAAAATACTCGATCCCATTTTCGATACCACAAGGATAAAAACAAAGACCCCAAAATTTAACTGAATTGTCTTTCATTTCAAACTGACCTGTTACTGATGTTATTGTGACTGGTGGCCCACAATAATGACCCTAACCCTAACCCTAACCCTGACCATGACCCTGACCCTAATCCTAATCCTAACCCTAACCCTCCAGCCTTCATAATTGTGAGAAATGCATATTTTTTGGTTAAACTTGTTTGGACTTATTGTACAAACCTATTTAACATCCACTATTTTAACATAATATGTATAGAGTTTAATTAAGTGTTTGAAAGATTAATTTAACTATTTTTAAATTGCTATCTATATTGCCATGAAGCAATAACAATTTTCTTCCCTGGGATCTTCCTATTGGTGATGTGATCAAAATGGCCGACTTGGATGTGGGCGGAGTTGGATATGTACTTCATTAATGGTAGCATGTTATTATTAGCCGCAGCTAGCAAGGCTAACGTCTTGTTAATGATCATAAACAACGTAAATAAATACATAAATAAATCAGAGAGAAGGGGGGTGGTATCGATACTTTTGAAAATGAGTATCGTATCCGGATACAATGGGGTTATTTTAGTATCGATACTTTTTTGAGTATCGATACTTTTGACAACCCTAGCCAGGACAGATATCAAGGATATTAGTGGAGAAAAAAGGAACTGCTCAGAGATTTGACTGAATTCCAGCTTTAAGTTTAAACGGCTGCTCTAAAGGCTGAACTCATGGGATATAATCTAGTTTCTGATGGCCTTTCCGTCCCTATGCTGTGGCTTTTAAACCGGGAAACGGTTTTCCATCATGGATTCATGTTAAGGTGTGCAGGTTTTCATTGGCTGTAGTTTCTGCGGTGCTGGTGTTTTATAAAACATGATCTAAAGTCTTCAATTAGAGGGTCCGGCCATCCCAGTACCCTACACACACACACACACACACACACATATCTTGTACGCACACACACACAATTACACACACCCTGCACACACACACTCTGCACACACCAACACACACCGTGTACACACACACTCTACACACACACACACACACACACACACACACACTCTCCACACACGCACACTCTGCATACGCTCTGCACACACACACAAACCCTGCACACACACACACTCTGCACACACACACTCTGCACACACACACACTCTGCACACACACACTCTGCACACACACACACACACACATACCCTGTACACACTCTGCACATACACACTCTGCACACACTTTGCAAACACACACACACTGCACACACCCACACACATACCCTGTACACACACTGCACACACACACATGCACACTCTGCGTACACACTCTGCACACACACACTTTGCACACACACACACACACACACTCTGCACACACACACACACACTCTGCACACACCCACAAACACACCCTGCACACTCAAACACCCTGCACACACACACTCTGCACACACACACATACTCTGCACGCATGCACACACACTCTACACATACACAAACACACACACACAGACACACACACAGTGAGTGGTGCTCTCTGGTGTATTCTGCTGTTTACACCATCTTCTCCTCCCTAAGTGTGTCCCTGCTCACACTGCTGCTGTAGGGTTCACACAGCAGTCACCACCTGGATCTGAACCACACATCTGACTCCAGACATTTCCTCTGACACGGTTTCTGCAGACCGATGTGCCCACATCTTTAGAGCGTTCACTTTAAACGTGCCGGACAAC